AATAGAGTAATCTAATTCACTTGCTAGGTTCTTCCCAAATTCATTAGCATAGATGGTGGCTTATTGTTAATATGCTATCAGTTGCTCTACTTTATACATGGATTACAGGTATTTATTAACTTATTTAAATTATGTGCACTCATATTTTATATGGTATATGTCGTACTTAACAGATTTTTAGTTATTTTGTAAAAACTTACGCTTTTACGCTTTGATTCTACGTTTTACGATTTTACTCATTTTCCGCTTCTAGGTAGAATCGTGCTTTTTACTGCATTCCTCCCAATTACATAGATTGTGCGCCAATCGCCATCATATCGGCCGCACTGTTGGCCTCTCGGCCCACGAATGAGACTTCCAGCCCACCCATTCAGGGGCGGAGCTAGGATCCAGAGATCGGGGGGCCGAACTTTTTTTATAGTATCCGTCAAAATGTTCTAAGAAGATAAATAATAATAATAAATAATAATAATTCATTCATTATAGAAACCCAAACAGTATTTTAGAAACCCAAGCAATATTTTAGATAATTAAAAGATATAAACATGTGTTATAAACTCAAGTTTTATGTAATGGTCTATTCAAAATAAATAGTAAATGACAAGCATACTTCATCTTTAATTATCTAGTTTGAACTTTAAAATTATAAAATATATGAAGATGAAGTACAAAAGTTAAGTAGTTAGTTCAAATTTTAAGGAAAAATTAAACCAAAAAGAGAAAATCCCCGTAGTTCCTTGCAGAACTAAGCAATCTCTGTTTCATCTTCATCTTCATTCTGAAATTTCTGCACCACCAACATGCAATTTGATTCAATCGATCAAGTGAGAAATGATATTCTTTTCCCACCTCCGACCGAATTCAATTGTCGTCGCTTCTGCGAATTCCGATAGCTATTGTTTTCTCGTGCGCTTTACCCCTGCTCGACGAAAGTTCTTCATTTCATCTCTTACCACCACCTCAAAATCAGAATAATTATCTCGCATAAACAAAGTGGAGACGCCTCATAATCAGGGGTGGAGCTAGGATCCAGTGGTCGGGGGCCCGGACTTTTTTTATAGTATCCGTAAAAAAATTTAAGAAAATGTTTACATTGTGAGTCATTAGCTCCAAAATTTAATTATCTAAATTAGAAAAATATTATAAGCTCCAAAATATTATTATCTAGTTTGAACTTTGAAATTAAAAAATATTTGAATAAGTACAATAGTTAAGTGATCAGTCTAAATTTTAAACAAAAACTTAACCAAATTAGGAAAACTAAAAGAAAAATGTTGCTGCTAGGGATTGAACCTTGGTACAATGGTACTGGGTATTCACAAGCAACTCCTACATTCTGTTAGACTAGAGCCAGACATAGTTACTTATTTTTGCACGGTATTGTTATTCTACAACAGTTAACTTCTTCAGAATTTTCAAAATTCCCGATATTTTTACACGCGATCTCCAAAATTCTCGGGGAGCCGGGGCCCTCGGAGGCACAAGGTAGCTCCACCCTACTCATAATAAGTCATGACATAACAAGTACATCAGAGAAACAAACTGGAGGCCAGCTGCGTACAAAAACATCAAACCACACAAGGGTGGAAAGCTTTCCATTTCAAGTAATTCACAACGTGCCTTGTCGGTCCTAAAACTCTTCACTTCAAAAATACTTTAAAAAAAAAATCCAACTGATCGTATCGCAAAATTTTTAGGGAGCAGTTCTCGTAACCATTCGAAATTATGTATAACCTGCCACATCACTATTCATAGAAGGTACTAATATTTTCTCCTATAAATTTGAATGGACTATATTTCTTTTATTTTAGGTAATCATTTAATTTTTTCCATAGATAAATCAGATTAATTGTGTTTTTCAAAATGATATCCACTTTTGATATATTTTGGAACAAAAAATTTGAGACATTTAGTAACGGTCTATATAATGGTGCAATGCTTAGTATTACATAAGATCATACCACGTGGTATAGAAGTGTATCATGCTGGTATGAACATAACATAGTGTAGAATGGTTGATTACATGACATTTACCCCATTCATCATTTTTTACCACGCGTTACTGCCCCTATGCCAGGGTGGTATGGAGTGGTAAATTTTGATCATGTATTTTTTACCATATATTTGTAGATCTAATAGATCACGATGACCTCGTTCTTTCTGTGCAAATTTTTTCAAAATTCGAGTTAAAAATGAAGGTAGTACCATGTGGTACCAAGGTAGTAACGTGTTGTACAGAAAAAAACTTCTCGAAATATATTAAAAATTGACCTCATTTTTTAGATCACAAAAAACTCGTTCCATCTGTGAAAAAAAAAATTGAAATCCAAATTAGAACGAAAAAAATTAAAGCTTATTAAGAAAATTAGAACAAATTAAATATTACTATTTCTCACTCCTTTGATCTGCACTTTTTTACGCACTCAAAACTATGGAAAAAATCCAAAACTACCACTGTTTAAAAAAAATACAAAAATACCACCCATTCCCAACCATTTCCAAAAATACCACCGTCTATTAAAAACCGCGCCTCTAATAGGCGGTTAATATATAAACCGCGATCTACAAGGGAATATCAAAGGTACTGGCAAATAGGTTAGCCACTGTTCTTCCTCTACTCATTTCTAAGTCTCAATCTGCTTTTATTAGGGGCAGGTCTATCAGTGATAATATTCTCCTAGCGGCTGAACTGGTTAAGGATTATCATAGGAAGAATATTACCCCTCGTTGTGCAATAAAAATTGACATAATGAAAGCATTTGACTCGGTTAGCTGGCTGTTTCTGTTTTCTGTGCTTGAGAGTATGGGGTTGCCTAAGCAATTTATAGACTGGTTGAAAGCCTGTATTCAGAATCCTCGAATCAGTGTGTGTCTTAATGGTGGGATCTGTGGGTCATTTGAGATGGCTAAGGGTCTAAGGCAGGGGGATCCATTGTCCCCATACCTTTTCACAGTAGCAATGGAAGTCTTAGATGGTATGTTGAAGTTAGCAGCAGATCAAAATCAGATTCCATTCCATCCTAGGTGTAAACCACTGTCCATCACTCATCTCTGCTTTGCAGATGATTTGTTGGTGTTTACAAATGGATCTATCAGAGGGGTTGCTGGAATCTGTCGTGTGTTGGATGCTTTCTATTCTATATCAGGTTTGAGATGCAATCCTGAAAAGTGCCAGTTGTTTTGTGGAGGCATTCCAGTAGAGGAAAGGGTTATGATTTCTGAGTATTCTAAGTTTCCCAATAGTACTTTGCCTGTTAGGTATTTGGGAGTTCCTCTGCTTACTGGAAAACTTACTAAGGCTGAGGCCAAGGTGCTGATTGGAAAGATAACAGGAAAAATTACTAGTTGGAGATCCAAATACCTCAGTTTTGCAGGTAGACTTCAACTGATTAACTCAGTTCTTACGAGTGTGTTGCAGTACTGGATGGAGATTTTCCTGCTACCAAAATATGTTATAAAAGAAGTGGAGTCTATCTGTAGCCACTTTTTGTGGGATATTGACGAAACCTCATTGAGAAGAAGAGCAGTGACTGCATGGCAATTCATTGCAAGGCCTAAAAAAGAAGGAGGGTTGGGTATAAGAAATTTCTCCATCTGGAACAAAGCTTGTGTTTGCAGGCACCTTTGGGCGCTCCTGGCAGCAGAGGGGTCTATTTGGGTTGCGTGGATCACAAGATATAGGATGAAACAGTCATCTATATGGGATTTGAAGGAGAGTGCAGCAGGGAATTGGATATGGAAGAGGCTATTAAAGTGTAGACAACTGGTGAGGCCTCATATCTCTGTGGTAAATTCTGAGCTGCAGTGGGATGGCTTGGTTATGTGCCCCTACTCTGTTTCGAGGGTGTGGGAGTCATTAAGGCAGAAAGAGAATGAGGTTAATTGGTTCCATTTGGTTTGGGATAAGTATGTTATACCTCAACATGGATTCATTGCGTGGTTGGTGATAAATGATAAACTAAAGCTTCAGGACAAACTTATCGCATGGGGAAAACCATTATCTGGGTGCTGTCTGATGTGTCCTGGAGGTGTGGAGACTCGGGACCATCTGTTTGTTCACTGTTCTTATATACAATACTTATATATGCGTGTGCTGGGGGTAGCCTTGCCTCCTGTGCTTGATAGTTGGGGTTCCATGTTCAATTGGTGTGTGCAACAGTGGAGTGCTAATACCACTGTGAACTTCCTTAACAGAATGTGTTGGAGTGTTTTGATTAGCCTTGTGTGGAGGGAGAGGTGTGCAAGGATGTATGGTTCTGCTGCGGCGAGGAGTCCTTTGCAGCTGCAGAGTGTTGCTCGAAGATTCATTCGAGGGAGATGCCTTTTGAACCAAAATTTGATTGACTGTTTTGTAGAAAGGGGGCTTGGGGTAGATAGGTAGCTATCTTTTGATTTGTGATTACCATTTGGGTTTGATGTACAGGGACTGTCAGTTTGTGAGGGCTCCATAGCGATTTGCTATTGGTGCCGGGGTTTAATGCAATTTGATTTAACCATCAAAAAAAAATATATATATAAACCGCGCCTCCAGGCAGCGGTTTACATCATAACCGACTTGCCAACAGGCGATTTTTAATTTTAGCTAAAACCGCTCCTCAAAGGCGCGGTTTATATACTAACCCTACCACAAAACACTTCATGAGGAAGCGTTTAATTGTCAGCATGATAAGCCGCCCCACCAGGCGGCGATTTACCATGTGCAGGCATAAACCGCTGCCCCAAGGCGCGGTTTGTGCCTGGTCACCCGACATCAGACATGTCGGCATGTAGGGGGTGGGTTTGCATGGCAGACCTAAAACCTCCCCCCCCCCCCCCCTCGCGGTTTGTGCTGCAAACTTCGCCTATGAAAGGCTATTTCAGAGAACTCAAATTCTTCACACTCCTCCTCCTCCTTCTTCAAATTTCAGTTGTGCACCTTTAAATTATTTAGTTTTTGCGATTAACGTTAACTCGTAAGTTTGTTGTATTACTTTTCATTGTCCTTTGTGATTTTATGTTAGTAACTTAATTACTTTTCATTGTCATGTCCCCTTTTGTTTTACTTTTCATTGTCCTTTGTGATTTTGTGTTAGTAACTTAATTACAGTTTTAATGCAGATGGCATTCCAAAGGTTCACGTTTGGGTTGCGGTGGAATGGTTACACGGAAGAGACCGAAAAGGGTGTAAGTTACGTCGGTGGCAATTTTTATAAAATGAAGGTCCGTACGAGATCGATGCTTGAAGAGCTCCATCAAATGTGCACTCAGATTACCTGCATGGATGTCATTAGAAGATGATCAAATGGCGTATCGATATCCAAACAGACATGACGGGTCGCTGTGGAATGAGTAATTGCACCTTACCACTCAGGAGGACGTTGATGCCATGGTCCAATTTTTGACCACCAATAAAATTAAGCAAGCGGAGATGTTCGTTTACACCGAGGCCGCCGAAGGCGGTGTAGGTCATTCTGGAGATGGCCAAACATCTGGTATCCACGGTGGGAGTGTATTATACGAAGATCATCCCCACCAGGATTTCCAAGACTCGAGCTGGAGGCAGTAGTTTCATGATGGAAGTGGAGGTCATCATCAATCCTTCCCTTCATATGAAGAAGAAGCTCAACAGGCGGATCACAACCAACAAGCAGGCTACCAGTACCCACCCGAGTACAACTTCTACCAAAGCGGTGTTAGTTACCACAACTACCATTACGGAGCTGGTGAAGGTGCCTTTCATGATGATAATAAGATGGAATAAGAGGTCAATCCAAGTCCAGTTAGTGACCCTGAGGTTGAAGAAGAGGAAGGCAAAGTTAGTGCAGACAACTTCGATCCTGTGGAAGGTGCTGATGATTCCGGTCCATATTCAGACGCAGACAGTGATGAGGTACCTCGTGACTGTGTACCTATCCCATATTACAATCACATTCAAAATGAAAATTGGTATGTTGATGCCGACATGGACCCGCCAGAGGTGCCAGTATGGGGTCCACTCACTGGCTTTACGAAGGGCCAACAATTTGCAACGAAGAATGAGGTCCGACATGCTATTGCCACTGAAGCAATGACTCGGAGTTTTGAATGGCAAACAACCCATTCCGACACAAAGAGGCTGATGGTTCGATGCAAAAATGAAAATGAGGGATGCAAAGCTAGGGTCGGGGCCATCAAGAGCAAGAGAGTCGGCAATTGGGTCATATCTCGTGCGGTGTACACACACACACACACACACACGTGTGTCATCAATAACAATCCAAGGCCATCGACAGTTGAAATCAAGGGTGGTTGACGCGGCTATCAAACATCTAATTGAGGAGCAGCCCGACCTGAAGGTGAAAACCATCATCGCCGACATTTCTAGTCGTTATGGTTATATCATTAACTACAAGAAAGCGTGGCATGGGAAACAGAAAGCAATGGCCGCAGTTTTTGGTGAATGAGAAGAATCATATGCATTCCTTCCCAAATTGATTTTGGCGTTGTAGGTGTCTAGCCCTGGCACCATTTTCTCGCCTCGGTACCAAGATGAAGAAATTCAACCGCCGGTGCCTGGTAACAAGCGCCATTTAAAGCATCTTTTCTGGGCATTCAAGCCATGTATTGATGGTTTTCCATACTGTGTTCCTGTGATTCAAGTGGATGGAACATTCCTTACCGGCAAGTATAAGGGTACTCTACTGATCGCCAAGGAGACTGTTCGCGCGCTCTCATACAGCCAAGCAGACTGTTCGCTATCCTTCGAATGAGCCCCACCTCTCGACCCGCATCCGAATGATCTGCAATACGAGCGAGGTCGTGTATACGCTCGATGCCATCAACCTAAATCGAAGAAAATAACAACGTGAGCCATTTAAAAAGTAATGCACCGCATGCCTAAATAAATAAAAACTGAATTACTTACCAAAGCTTCGTCCGCCGCACCTTCGGGGGTCATGTAACGAACAGATTGTCTTCAGTATGTTTTCATGTATTGGTCATGGTAGCCCATCCGCCCCACATGAGATCCTGTCACAACATCCTGATCTTGCCTAACGTTCCACAGAGCAATCAATTCTCCATGCTCCTCTGGCCAATTAGTAGCTCCTAGTCGACCATCTTTCCCGTGGTACCCCCTCTGGCTCTCTGGGATATCCAATGGTAGGCATTGCTCACGTCCGAATTGTCGTAGATATCGATCCGGCAAGTGCCACTCCACTATATGGTGGCATATTAGTGGAACTCGGGTGCACCATTGACCGGGATGCAACGAGAACTTGTGGACGTGATGCGCGACAATGAGTTCTGGATACGGATCAAAATTAAGCTACGAAGGTGCAGAAAAAATAGACCATTAAGAAACATAATAATATAAGTTGAAAAAAAGTAGGAAGTAATAGTGTATTATGATGCTCACCTCTGCTTCCCAAAGGCGATCAAGCCTCCTACGATACTCCTCCAACTTATGCGCTCCTAGGTTGTCGCATGTTTTTTCACCAAGCCACCTATTCAATCCAAAAAGTACATCATGTTAATACATAATAGTTGGTTCGTTATAAAATACCCAATTAGTAAAAAAAATGTGAGATCTATGAGTGGGATAGAAAATATTTACCTACAACCATAAGCTTTATGTCATAGGGGATGGTCGGGTCCCCATTCCCTGTCAGGGTCTACCTTCGGCGCAATCCATGGCAAATGCTCCCAAGCCCAAAATTGGACGATGAACATGGCCCCATCAATCTCCTTCACCGCTCTCACACTAGCATTACAGAGGGATCGGTAGAGATGAGCTAGGCAAGCAGATGCCCAACTCAGTTTCCCATATCATCCCAACTCCCAAGTATGATCTTCAACCATGAATTGCTGATTAAGTTGTTGGATTTCTTGGGGAAGAAAACTCCTCCGATCATGCCGAGGATGTAGATACGTGCATAAATGTCTTTATCACGCTCCGAACTTTCCTCCGTGAGGGGAATGCCTCCGAACTCAGGGTTGTGCTTAAGCTTGATCTGCGCTGTCAACCACGTGATGGTTACTTGGCCCTTGAACAATGGTGGATGACCATCCGCATCGTGATCTCCCTTTTCTGGCAGACACAACCCGGTGACCGTCCATATAAAATGCTGCCAACCACTCATATTGGCAACAACTTTAGGTGGTGGCATAGAGTCCACACAAATAACATCACCATCGATGGGCAAATCGGTTAGGATGGCAATGTCCTTAAGTGTGATGGTGCACTCGCCTTCACGAAAATTGAAGCAATGTGTCTCCTTTCGCCATCTCTCTACCAATGTTGTGATGAGTTGGCGGTCAATCTTGATTCCATTAAAATGCCTAATCGAATCCAATCTTGCCCTTTTTAGAAAGGGCAAGATGACGTCGTTCCATTCAAGCACGTTCGTCGTACCCCTATAGCGGTCTATATGGTATACATCCTAGAGAAGAATTTAACTTTCACTATAAGTTGATGATTTATACATATATAAATATATCATAAGATGCAATATTAATTAAATCAAGGTTGTTTTAGAGAAATATACATTATCTAATAAACATTAGTTTTAACATAACTAAAATATTTTATAAGATGCAATATTAATTAAATCAAGGTTGTTTTAGAGAAATATACATTATCTAATAAACATTCATTTTAACATAACTAAATGTATTAATTAAATCAAATATATTATTTTGTTAATCGTATTGATTATTTTCAATAATTTAAAGCAATACAAGTACACTCGTAAGACTCTTAGGAGAGGTATACATCTCCTTAGAAATACAATCTTTTTGACAGAAAAAGGGGGGTTCCGAGGATCGCTTAGAACCCGATTTTCCCAGGTCATGGGGGGATCATGATGATCGCTTAAGTCCCCATTTCCTTAGACATGCATTTCTTTATAAAGAGTCTAAATAAGTGTTGTATTGTATTGATTTAAATTATTGAAAATAATCAATACGATTAAAAATTAAGTAAATTGTTGTACAAAAAAATAAATTACTTTAACAAAATACAAATTACAAGTGATGATAAATAATATGTACCTTGTGTCGTTCCAAACGTCTCGTGAACGATGATTGTCTTGATCGTATAAAATAGCTGGATCAATCGATCCTTGATCAACATAATATCGTTGATTGTAAATATCAACATCCGACCCAACCTATGATAGCATAACAACATAAATTAATTAGTATATAAGTTAAATAAATCATTATAACAACAACAATTGGGTAAAATGAGTACATACCGCTTGATAATCATCATAGTAAATGCCCTCTTCTTGGATAAAATCAGCCATTTTTTCAGAATCCGGACAGAGATTCGACGGTTTTTAGTGAAAACCAAAGAAAAAGTTTTTTGAAAGCAGATTGGACTTAGCCGCAACCAACAAAATAACTAATTCTAAGGTTTTTTGGTGGGGAAGGGGGTGGGTAGAGTGAGGAGTTAGAGAGAGAGGGGGGAATGGGTTTGGTGTGCAGAAAATGGGAGGGGGAAGGGGGGTTTATATAGGGGCGGTTTCGTCCTTTTACCCCACCTCAAACCGCTGAGCTGGCACGCGGTTTGGCCGTCAGATCGCTCCCCCATCACGCGGTTGCATGTACCGCCACGTGGCAACGCGATTTGACAGCCAGGAAGGGTCAAACCGCGCGTTCCACAGGCGGTTTGTCTCTTAACCGCGCCTTGGAGGCGCGTTTTGGTTTATAACCGCGCCTTCGAGGTGCGTTTTGTGTGGAAGAGTGGTATTTTTGGAAATTGTTGAGTATGGGTGGTATTTTTGTAATTATTTTTATAGTGGTAGTTTTGGATTTTTTCCCAAAACTATGGGCACAAATCTAATTATGAAAGTGCAAGCACCATATCCTATACCAAATTTCCAAGAACTAATTACCTTTGAAGTTTCCATTTTTCGTGTTCCAGCACATGTAATTTCCTTAAATAGAAATTATAGAGCACTGAACTCGCAAGGACATAAATATGGCAACAAAGTAAATATCCCACTTAAAGGTTACTGAAGAAAATGAACTGGGATCATAGCATTGAAAACGTGATGGAAAATGTTAGTGGTGGAGATCCGAGTTAAGGATCTATACAAGTACTACATTAACCCATCATATGATCAGTCACCGTTAGATAGCTAAATGGGTAATTTAATGATGCATAAAACTAGTAGTATTGAGAAGGAAATATGTGTTTGTGTGTTGGCAGCGGCTGATCCAGGACATAGTCGGGCACTGGTCGTACTTTTTTGAATGGAATAGTAGATACCGTAAACAAAAAGGTCTTTTAATTTAGCAAATCCACCAATAATAGAATCTCCATCCTACCAATAGCATACTCTCTCTTAAAGAAAATAGCTAGGCAATCAACGAGAAATTCATCGTTCATTTTGTTGCACAAATCAGTTTTCACATGTTCCATTGCTGAAAATGTTCTCTCCATGGTAGTCGTTGAAACGGGCAAGATCAACAATAGACGAATCAACCAAAAAGTCAATTTGTACTGTATGTTCATCCCAATTTTCTCCAACTTCTCTAGTAGTTTTGCAAGAGAAGAAACTTCATCTTCCTCCCATGAGTTACATAATATCGTAGCTCATTCTCCAAAGAATGTATCTATAGCCTTCAAAGTCTCGAGTCTATCAAAAGACCGGAAAGAACGGTTAGGATCTAGTGGACCACTCAACCGAGGCAATCTAAATGATGACTCAGCAAGTTTGTAAATATTTATTAATCAAAAGACTAGAAAGAAAACCAGCGCTCGAAGAACTAGCGGAAGAATCCATTTTGGGTTCGTTCATCTCCTCGTTCTTGTTTAATTTTTGTGGGATTGGAGAAATTTTTTGAGTTTTGCAGAGAAGGGTGAGCTTTTGTTTAGAGGTTTTTTTTATTTAATGAAACTTTATACTTTTAGGTTTTAATGTCTTTTTTTCAAATAAAAATAATTGATGCTAGAATTTTTAATCTAAATTTAGATTAGTGGTTTGGATATGTTCATCTGGACTATTTTTTTTAGTTACACAAAATCCTATTATCAATTAAAAATAGACTGAATTTTAAATAGCACTGGGCTGAATAGCTAAATCGTAAAATTTATAAGCGATATACTTGTTCTGAATCCAGAGGAGGGCTGGGCCGTGGCCCGGGTTGGCCCAACCCTAGATCCGCCACTGTGTCTTGGCGATGAAAGTACGGATCTTGTCATTGATTGGAGCCAGTTCCAGTGTCAATCCACGTTAAGCCCAGGGGAGGCTGTAGCCCCCCGCAACTTTAAAGCAGGTAAATTTACGTGTAAAAATTATAACGATTTCTAAAAATAAAATAGTTCGTAAGGTGCAATAAATTGTGAAAACATACTAGTTGCCAATCACTATTCCATAATCCATACTAATCATAATGGGGAGAAAACCAATATTACTATAATTATTTCCCCACGCAACTACTGAACTACCATTAATAATTATCTACTAATTAATGACTCTCCTTCGTAGCATATAGGTGCATGATCAGTTTGGGGTATAGTGGTTTTGGAGGCTTTCCAAGCGATTAATTATGCCTACACAGAAGTGGGATTATCCAACTGGGAAAGTTTGGCAGGCAGGCAGGCAAGGATTGCGATGTCTGTGTTTCAGCTTTGCCTTGAAGCATTACTTCTTCTCCATCTTCACATCCACCACTAACTAAACGTCACTTTGATGAAAAAGAAAGAGGGTTTTGGATCGTTTCTCCCATCCTACTAATTATAATGTGCCACCAGAATTAGGTAAAAGAACAGAGAACCAGCTCCCTAGCTAGCTAATGTAGTTATTCATAGCAATGTTAAAGACACCCTTTCACTAGGACAGAAGAAATGGAAGCGAATCCATATGAAAGATGTTTTGATTTCTTTAGTTAAAGAACTATTTCAACTTGTATCCTGTGCAGCAGTACTTCATGGTGAAACAACAAAATTAAGAAGGATGGGGAAATCGTTAAAAAAAAACTCAGCTGGTTCTGATAACTCGAGTTGTTGAGCGAGATTTCAGAATGGATCTTATATCGTTCCCATACGTCCTCTCCTCTCAATTGAATGTCAATCTTTGGACTTGAAGTTTGCATGGGAGAATCATACATTTTTCCTTAAATTCAACTATTAATATTACAAATCCTAAGGATTCGAACACGATGGTTGGCTTTTATCTGATGGGTGTGTAAACGGATCAATAAAAAATAATTTCTTAACCTTCTTCTAATAACTTGAGTTATTGGTACCAATTTATTATTTACATTATTATTAGTCGTATGTATAGCCTTAGTTAGCTGATGCAATTTAGATTATTAATTCACCGAAATTTATGGCATCATGTTATTCCTAATTTCGATGGGTAAACCATGAAAACTAAGATTACGTTAATTAAGAATTCACCAAATATATCAAACACAGGTAATCATTCAACATACAGCGCGAAAAAGAAACCCCTTAAGATTATCCATATCTATTGGATTGCCAATGACATGTGAGGAATTTGAAACATGTGAGAAACGCTTGGAAAAGGAAATTATAATCAAGTACGTACAGTCTGTTTTTTTTCTCTCCAAGAGGGGCCTACAAACAGCTTATCTCTTGTTGTTTTAGCTTGGCTATTGATTGCTGCTTGCTAGAGAGTAATAATTTATAACTCTTACAAGGGATTCTGGACACAACAAAATCTAAAATGCATGTGGAGTTTCTAAATTTGGGGTTGGAGATGGAAAGCAATCTCACTTGTTTCTTTGCCAGAAACCGTAAAATAAATCGTTGATTGACGACGACGACGACCTAGACTTTTGGAAAGGTGGCCTCACCTTTGTTCTTCGATGGTTGGGGACTTGGATGGGAAAGTTCTGTGTTGAAATTTATGCCTTGTGAAACATTGTAGCACGAGGGATAATATGTATAAAAGGATTGATGCATGAGACTGATGAGAGGTCTCTTATATTTAAGGAATGGTCACTTGTATTTTTTTTTTTATATACTTATTTTCTTGTAGGGGTGGTTATTGATGTGTTATGGTAGGGTGTGCACAATTAAATATGGACCTTCGTTCTAAGTAGAGTGCGTTTTAAGGGATGAGGTTACAAGATTATTTATTTTTGCTATTTGTTTTAATTAGTTTGTATTTTTTTTTAATATGAATTTTAAACTTTTTTCATAGTTGATCGACAGGCTCATTGTGAGCTAGGGATGGCAGCATAACGCGAATCCAAGGGTCTACCCTGTCCAACCGATCAACACGGATAAAACCTGCATTGATGGATTATGGGTCGGGTTCGGGTTTAAACTCATTTACTGTTTTGCGGGTTGGGGTTGGCTTCGGGTTTGGCCATATCCAACCCGTACCCGTCTCTAAGCATGACCCACTTACCCTCCCATGTCCCATTCGGCCATTTCCCCCATCCTAATTCCTAAACCTAACTCCAAAAAGAAAAGAATCCACCCCCCACCCCTACAACCACTCGACCTCGCTACCACAGATCCGTACAGTCATCACTCACCGTCACCGACTCTGCCACTCGCTTCTCCAACTCCAGCCGACCAGTCGACAATCGAGTGACTGTTATATTAATATTCTAAGTCATATATCCTCGTTAAACAACTAATATTCCTTATGTTGGAGACATGTCTAATTTGTTCTTTCTAATTGTGTAAAATGAAGTTGATATTATAGAGCGGAGAGTGAAAAAGCTTAGTTGACAAGGAGGAAGAAGCTTCCAATTAATCATGTTATTTATGAATGTTTATTTTTAATATTGAACAATTCGTATAAATACTTTATGGTTTGCTTGTATGCTCTAGATAGATGTTTTTTGTTTGGAAAATTTATATGAGAAGAATGATGTTGACTTTCACGCTTTTTTTAAATACCCATGGATTTGGTTTTGAAAAAATCCAACCCAACCAAGCTCATTGTCATCCCTATTGTGATCTACAAAATAATATTCATTTTTTATATTTCGAGATTTTTTATATCATCCATTACCAGTCGTTACCACCATAGTACCATATATGAGGTACCGCTTTGTATCATCTCTATTTTTAACGAATATTTGGAAGTTTTTGTCATAACAAAACGTGAAATTGATAATCCAGATCAACATAAACGAACACAAATTTAATGTGGTTCAGTAACATTTCGTTCATCCTTGGAATCGATGGCGGTGAGGATAGTGTATGTGAGGTCGTGGAGGTGGAGCGCCATCTTGCCGGCCCCGCAGGTGGTGCCTAGCTCTATGGCTCGGTGGTGTTTAGAGTCGAAAACGAGGGAGGAGTAACACTCTGTTTGGCAACAAGGGGGGTGCAAATTCAAGGAGGGTACAAATTGAGGGGTAAATGATAGGGGGGAGTGAGTTTAAGGGGAGTGCAAATTGGGGTGCAAATTGGTGTTTGGATAAAAAAGTAGGAGGGTGCAAATTTATATATAAAATATAAATTTAATAAAATAATAATAATAAATATAAAATATAAAATAACCCAACCCCACCATTCACTCTCTTCCTTTGCCTCACCACCTCTTCTCTCTCTCCCCCACCAACGTTCCTTCCCTTCCCCTGACCCCACCACCAGCTTTCTTTTCTTCCTCCACCATTTACGCTCCAAATTGGGGTGCAAGTCTAAATAGTAACTTTGCCCACCTTTTGCACCCGCCTGCCACTGTATCAAATTATCCAAACAAGAGTTTTTGTCTCGATTCTGCCACTTACCCCCAGCTTCTTACCCCCCCTCCCACTTCCCCCTCTACCCAAACAGAGTGTAAGGGTTTGGGGCGATGGGTATGGGGGGATTTTTTGGCAAATGGGGATTTTTTGCCGGCGGTGGTAGGTATGAGTTGTTTATTAATAAAATAAATTAATAAAATTTTTAATTAAAATGTGATTTGGCGTCCAGTGGCATTGTGTGTCTTGTTGGAGCTGACGTGTGAGTTGATGTGGCATCCACCTTAGCGTAACGTTTATGTGACATCCACCTAAGCGTAACGGTAATGGCTAAATTTGTCAAACTTCTTTTTAAAATGTGGTTATATTTGTGTATTTTTTAAATTTTGGCTATTATTGTCACAAAGTGCAAAGTTATGGCTATACAAGTGTATTCTGTCATTTTTTTATTCCAAAATTTATCAAAGTGGATTTCATTTTGAAGAGAATGATATGAATTTTCTTTGCAAAATTTGTTTCAAAAGATCATTTGGAAAAAAAATTATGGGTTGTTAGCCTATAGTTGTTGAGGGTTATGTAGAAATTGATTATTGGGGATCTGTTGGTTATTAACTAGGTCTGGCGAATCTAAATCCATAATTAACTCATTCATTTACAAATGAGAAATTTTACAATGCTATATAGTATTGGTGCTATAGGTTTTTGCCTTTATGGTACAACTTAAAATTGTACATTTACGTTATGGTACAACTTCAGATTGTACCTATACTTTTTGTGCAAATTCTTTTACGGTACAACTTGAACTTGTACCTTTATGTGATGGTACAACTTCAAGTTGTAAAGTTGTACAACTTCAAGTTGTAAAGTTGTACCATAACATAATGATACAAATTGCTTTATGGTACAACCTAAACTTATACATTTAATGTCATGGTACAACTTTGAGTTGTACATTAAAGCACCAATGCTATATAGCATAGTAGAAGTGCTCTTTACAAATAGGTTGGTACAATTGTTATTATGTATTACTCAACCATGCTCTTTTTTTTTTTTTATTGGGTCGGATGAGTGATATATGTCTGCATTTAGATTGCGGATTGACTACTAAAAGTAGTCTCCAATTATTCGAGTCGAGTAACATTTACAACAAACACCACAAAATTTATGGATATTATAACAATGCTTTTGGAGAAGATAACACAGATTCTACTACTAGTCTTCAATCTAGAGCTACCAGTTTCGAATTCCTTAAAAGTAATATAGAATATAAGAACAAATTTATATCACCCTTTCTAGACAAACCGGGGTTAAAGGCCAATGAGAGGGCATACTAGAAAGGGAAAGAAACAAGTTTGAAGTTTAGTCCTCAACATCTCTTATGGCCGCAACGACATCGCTGCACTTGTGGGTTGGTTTGGCTTTCGAGACTTTCAAGCGACGATTTTTTTTTGTCTTTTTCCTTGATATTTTGTGAGAAATCTAACATAGTGTCATGACACAATTTGACCCAACTGTCTCTCAAAATTGTCTCACCTCACGATTGATGCATTATTTTGAGATGCTTGTCCCTCTTCCCGTCAATTTAAATTTGTGCAATTTGCGACCATTTGAATTGGCTCGATTAAAATACTGCATTCTGTATGTATTGTCAGACGGGAAAATTTGACCTAATTACTTCATTTTGAAACGATTGAGCCAAGCTACCTCATCAAACTTCCACCATTCAAACTATCCCATAGCATAGTTAACAAAAAGTAACCTACTTGAGTTAACTATACAAGTCACTGTATCAAGGCCCACAAAGATGGATTCACTCAACTATGAACACATAGCTCACACACGCCAACCTGTAATTGTGCATCCTAATGACCCACTTAATGGTGGAAGGGCTCCACTTTGTCTTTGTGTATCCTTGTGGGAACATCAATCAATCTATCAAAAAAATCAATCTATCAAATCTCGAACCGAGGAAAACCATCGCTTTCAACTCACTCACTTTAACAAGTAAAATAGATCACTAATCCATAATCAGCAGCTTATCCATGACTAACCATCATCATCAACCTAAATCAATCATTTGGGGGGACTTTATTAAGACCAACTTAATAATGACCTCAATTTGCATAATCTGGCCAGAGGTTGTACCCAATACCACTACTCGTTATGGAAAAAAATTTAATGAACTTTGTACACGGACCATCAGCACCGGCCGAATTAGATTTTGCAGAGTCACTCAATTTGAGAATCCTAAATCAATACACTTGACGATCAATTTGACCGAGAACCCTTATCTTACGTGCCTATATCGCAACATAAAGTCACCAGATCGGAAAATCATTAGTTACGATCCTAAACGAACCATTTAACCAAGGATTAATAACATTTTTTTACCCCTCTACTATGTTAAATTAATAAACGTACCCCTCTATTGATTTTTTCACAAACATATCCATCTAATATTGAAACGTAACAAGTTTACTCTTCCATCCAATTTTCTGTTAAGTGACCGTTAAAATAACTGTGAAATTACTTAATTGCTCCTCATTTACTCTTCAATACTCCTACTTTAGTTTATTTTTTATTTATTTTTTAGTTGTTCTCAACGTCAGCATTTCCGTTTGTCCAGTCAGACTTAATACTAATACCGTTAAAGAATTGAACGGAAATGGTTTTAAGTGGTATTTCTCCGAAATTGGCTATTATTATCATGAACATGAAAGTTTTGCCTATACAGGTGTATATTGCTTATTTTTATTGAACTTGTATGAACCGACACAAACTAGTTGTAGACCCGATTAAATCATATCACTTGTTGAATGGACACAACCCTATAAACCGATTCGACAACTTTGGTAATCAAGGACGTCCAATGATCTGGTCGCGAAGACATGCGATCTGATCGGACGGCGGACAAATGAGGTAGACGTACACGTGAGATGAAGAAGAGAAGTAAGAGGAGGAAAGGAAGCCAAAAAAGAAGTTAATAAAAGGAGGAGGGGGTGGATCACTCGAGATTCGAGAAGTGACTTACTTCCCGATTCCCCAGGCCTTCCTGCCCATTGCTCTCTCTCCCGGCCGAGAAATCGAGCTCGCGGCACACACTGCGCCACCGCTCCTTCCCTCCATTGTCCGGCCATTCATTTCTTCATTCATTCTACCCAACAGTTCTATTCTATCACACCCACACCACAATCCATTTCTACCCGACAAAATTGCTCTCTGTCTCTCTCGTAATCTGCTTTTCTTGCTTTCCCCAAGCTACTTAAATAGCGCATCTATCCAGCAAGAGGAGCATCGTCGACGACTCCTTCTCACTGCTCCCACGCACGCACCCCAAGTGTTTGTTTTTATTTCTCTTCCGTTAGACCCCCGAGTGTCAAACGAAACTTTGTATTTTTTTAAATTCCCACACTGTCAGATCGAAAGTTGGCGAATTTGGGATTGGGTTTTCTTTGTTTGAGATTTTTGGTTGGTGGGTGGGTGGGGGATTGAGCGAGTATATGGATCCGCCTGGCTTGATGAGTGACGAGCCCTTCAACTTGGCGGAGATCTGGCAGTTTCCCCTGAATGGGAATGGGAGAGGCCAGTTTGGGCAGAGTTTGGCTCACTTTGCAGACTCTACCAGGGATAATGAATCCCTCAATTTGGAGCACAGAGGAGGTTTGCAGAAGAAGCGCCGGGATTTGGAGGAGGCCGTCTCTACCAGCAATGGCAGCGGGAATGGACTGGTATGTGTATATATATATCCCTCTCCCCCCTCATCTTCATTGTTTCATTCTGATTGGTCATTGTTGCTTTTTAATCTACCCAGCACACAAAAAAAGCTTCAGTCAATTGGTTGGTTGACTTTGTTGTTTCCATCATTGGCTGTAACGTGGGCTCTATTCTATTCTAGTATTCCATATATTCTAGTATTCCATCTTCCTTCTTCTCCTCATTGGGTTTTGTGAATTCAAGACTGGTATGGGTGATTATTTGGGAGGGTTGGTAACTGAACTATTGTTTTCCTCATTTGGGCATTCATCTGATCTGAATTGGGTGCAGAATGACAGTGATGGGAAAAGGATTAAAACAACGGGAGGGAGTAGAGATGATAGCTGTGATCCCAAAGCTGAAGAAGCAGAGCTCAGTTCAGGGAAGCCACTAGTGGAACAGAAGGCTCAACAACCCTCAGAGCCACCTAAACAAGATTACATTCACGTACGGGCTCGGCGTGGTCAAGCCACTGACAGCCACAGCCTTGCTGAAAGAGTAAATCTTTTTTATTCTTTTCTTTTTCTTTCCCAGATAGATTCCATTCCACCAACCTACTACCTACCCTGTTGTGATTCTTAGATACTGTGCGGTAATGATGTATGTGGGCTCATGGGTTACTGCTACTGTTGCAATTGACAGGCCAGGAGAGAAAAAATAAGTGAAAGGATGAAAATCCTTCAGGACCTCGTCCCTGGCTGCAACAAGGTACATTCGTTGTTGTGCTTTCCTAATCACTGCTTTCTAATCAGAGACAGAGCTTACATTTGGCTGGATTTTTCCATTAGAGCTTCTTAAAGATGGGTGTTTTTTTCTCTCGTGTATTTGTTCCTGGGATGCAGGTCATAGGGAAAGCTCTCGTCTTGGATGAGATTATTAATTACATCCAGTCGTTACAGCGTCAAGTTGAGGTATACATCCTTGCTATGAAGAAGGATTGACAACACGTGCACTTCCCCTTCCCCTTGTGGTAACTTAACTACTGATGCTGAAGCTGAGTTCTTTCTCTTAAACTTGCAGTTCCTGTCAATGAAGCTAGAGGCAGTTAACTCCCGGATGACTCCTGGCATGGATGTCTATCCTTCAAAAGAGGTAAGCATCTGCTCTTCTTTTCCTTATATACTGAAATTCCCTGTACAGAATTTAATAGGGGGAGCTATAGTGCAGCCCACCTGCCTCTTTGCTCATGCTTCTTAAAAGAGCTGAGATATTTAGTTAGGTTGCCTCTTGTTCTATAGCGGAAGAAAAAAAATTATCAACATATAGAGCTCGAAGAGAGATTCTGTGATTTGTTTGTTTTTAATGCATTGGGTTTCCTCCCTACTACTGATTTCAGTATGACCAGCAAACATATGATGCATCTGGGATTGGTTATGGTTCACAAACCGCAAGGGAATTCAGCAGAGGAGCGTCGCCTGAATGGTTGCACATGCAGATTGGTGGAGGTTTCGAAAGATCGTGATCTTGAAAAAATTGTGGAGGGGGGCAGTTGATTGATGGGCAATTAGAGAAAGCAATACGATACGTATATCCTCCAAAGGGCTAGTAAAATATACGCATATGATATTGTTACAAAGAGAGAGTGCATTATGTTGTCACAACAACTACTTCTACTTCATGGAGCTGTGGAATCCCGAACAGAGATCTCTCCAGTTGTTTCAGCATTGAAGAAGAGAGTATTCTTTCACTTCATACACATAGAATCTTTGTAAGCTGGACTTCACTTTTCTCCTGCCGTTGTAATACCAGCTAAAATGAGTTCCTCCTAGTCCTGCAGCTGTCCAAATTACTGTTCTAAAATAGAAGTTTATATTGCAGACTTCCTCTCCGTGTACGCATGCTCTGTACAAACCCTTTTTGTTTCATACATACCATTGACATGGTGAAGCCAAGCTTAGATCTTTATAATGAAGTATGATGGTTCGATGTTAAACTTAAGCCTTCCGTCTTGGTACAAGTATCACATATCTCAGCTGTTGATGTAAGCATTCACGTTTGTAGTGAAACCAGCAGCAGGATAACTTAAATGATGGTGGGAGCTGGGAAGATTTGAGCATAAGTGATTAATGACCCTTCCTTCCTTCCTTCCCTAGCTTAATTTCTTCATGGTTGACCTCATCGAAACTGCTCAAAAGAGTATCAGCAATATTTCGAGTCTGAGCTCAGTTCATCATCAACAAGCGAATGCGGAGCAACTTGCCAATGCTTGTGTAAAGCTAATTACATTGCTGGCCGTGTAGTACCATAGAATCTTCTTCCATTATCATTCCCACTTCCTTGGAGGTAGGAAACCACTGTCCAGACAACCCGTACGGACAGGATTCCAACAAAGATGGTGCTTCCTAGGGTGCAAAACACATGTAACCAGATCACCCAAGATATTCAGGAACCCCAGAATGCAGCTGAGTCATACAATAATCAGAAGCAGAAGAATAATAGTCATATACCTTCTTTTTTTAACATTAATAATCATATACCTGAAGAAGTGATTTAAAGATGAAGAGTACATGCAGACAGAGCCAGTACCCCATCAACCGCAAAAGAAACCTGGCTTCATCCAGAGATCACAAGAATTCCATATCAATACTTATGAGAAGCACTCAACGCAACTCCACATTTCCCCTTCCATGGGCACTCATAAACCTAGCCCATTGTACTTTAAGTTACTGACTCATGGAACAAGAGAGAACAAAAATGAAAGAGTGTTTACTTTCCGAGAATTGTACATTCAAAATGTCAATAAAACAATAATATTGGTATTTAAAAAATTATTAAATAAAGTTTTAGATAAAATGCTACAATACCTCTTATTTTATAGTTCAATATATACATCCAAATCAAGAACAAAATTAGAAAGTATAATAGCTCATTCAAACGGTTCGTTAACTATTTTCTACTTAAAATTATCTAACTTTGTTGCGTATTTTAAATTTTATTTATAACAGAAAAAATAAAAGCACACTTATAATTCAACTGAAAAAGTACACTTATGCTCCACCACACGGTCATACTATTTCTCATCATCTTCCAATTTTTTCTAGCAATCTACCGTCAATCCTTTGTTCCCTTCCATCAAAAGCGTATCATCTACAAAATTCTAGACTTCTAATACAAAAAATTCTCGTACCAGTTCAAACAATCTCTAGATCAGTGACGACCTCCATAATCTCATCGAATCTATCTCTTCCAATCTAGTACTAAGCTCTTAATCCAACTGAATTCACAACACATGCTAAGAGGCTTAAGTTTATTGAATTCTAGTCAATCTCTGATGATTGACATATAATTAGTCTGTTAATTTGAGCCCTACAAAGAGCTTGTATTGTCATCAATTATTTTTTGTTCTTACTCTCATCCACCATATGTATGTCTGCCTTCGGTGAAACAATTGCTCGTTGTCTTTCGGTTGCATCTATTAATTCATTAATATTTTTTCAATTTCTCCATGATCGTATTTTTGTGCTCTAAAGTAGGAGCATCAACCATGTCTCCCTCGAATTATATTCCTTAAGGAGGATTAATGTTAGATAACGTGTAAATAAAAATAAATAGAAATGAAAAAGTCTCTACTTGTTTCTAACATCAAAGGCTTATAAAGTGTTAATTTTCTGTTTGCATATAATTGTCTTGGTCCTTTAGGTGGAACTCATGTGGTTGTGCGTCCTAGGAGAGAGGACCAAACTAGGTTCAGTGATAGGACGAACCATCTTACTATGAATGTGTTTGGTGTATGCACTTCTGATTTGGAGTTCATATATTGCTTGTCGAGTTGAGAGGGTTCAACTCATGATGCAAGGGTTCTTCGAGATGCCCTTAATAGGCATTAGTGTGCCTTAAGGTAAAATGTTGTATGCAAATCTTTTAGTGTTAGTGACTCGCTACGACACAACACCTAACAATGGCCAAGTGTAACCAATGGAAGGGACTGCAGTATAGTGGCTCAAGTGATAAATATCGAATCCACGGGTCTCTAGAGTTACTATTACTCAGCTTCAGTTTATTATTTAGCAAACCAGATTAAGATGAAAGAACTAAAACTACTCTAGCAAACTACAGTTAAAGTTAATCTAATTACAGGTTGGGAACTCACTTAGGTATGATTCCCCCTAGCCACTAGCCAGACAAACAATTGATGATTTCCAACGTGTTTCACTTTCATTCACAATGCGGAGAATCCTTGACTAGACCTTGAGTCTCGACTAAAGGAACAAGGCCCTCTTGAGTCAATTGCCTAGAGGGACGTATCCTTCTCTAGAGCAACTGATCAAGGCGTTCTGAACTAGACTCCCTCTATCGAAAGAGGTTCTCAATCGATACAAAGCGATGAATCAACCCTCGACTAAAGCAATCGATCCACTACTATCAATCTATGGTGCTCTATTGACCTAATTAGGTATTCCCTCTCATAGGATCAAAGCAGAATCAATAATCTCGACTAAAGCAGAATTGAATCATGAAAACATGCATAGATTGAATATGAACTCAAGATGATCAAGTCAGAGTACTCATACAATCATCCAATCAAACAAACATAGCTAGGGTTCCTCAAAACCTAAGTGAAGGGAAGTTACTCCATAGAGAAGAGAGAGACTGTAGTAAGAATCTTCAGATGATCAGTCTTCAAGTCCGGGCTTGTTCCTCGAGCTTCCAAGGCGAAGAAATCCTCCAATTCCACTCCAAGAATGCCCTTAAATCGCCCTCTCTCTTTGGTTTGTCCCTTGGGTGCTTGGGATCCAAAATCCAGCTCTACCTTGCAAAAACGCACAAAACAGGCTTTTAACAGCCTGTGTTCGCGATCCCCGGTCAAAATACCCGGTCGGGTATTTTAGGTCACGACCGGGGATTTTTTGGTTCACGACCGGGGATTTTTTGGGTCACGACCGGGGATTTTGGTTCACGACTGGGGATTTTTGGTTCACGATAGGGGATTTTTGAAAACGCAACGTCTGGAGACAGGGGAAAATCCCCTATCAAGGCCAAAAATCCCCTACCGGGGATTTTAGTGTCACGATAGGGCCCCCTTCTGTTTCTCAGAGAAGCCCGAAACCAATTTTCCCCTATCTTTGATTCTTCGTTTCTCCCTCGTTCGAACTCCAAATCAGGTGCCGTTTGATCCCAGATGCTTGTATTCTCGTCCTCTTTCTTCTCATGACAAGATTACATGATTATATGGTCACAAACTGAGGTAGAAATACCTTCTTCTTCAAGTCATACCCGAGTTTCTTCCCCCGAGTCGCCAATTGATCTCCGATTGACTTGAAACTTGCGCCTACGCTTCACTTTATGTGCTAGGACCTGAAATGTGACAAAGGAACACAACCTAGCGTAAAATAGGCCAAAGAAGCAATAATTCAAGCTTAAACGATCAAGAAACAAAGGGGAAAACATGTGCAAATATCGAGTCATCAGTTAGCTAAAGATAATAAATTTTAGAAACTGTTAATTGACTCACATATTGTCCATTTCATGAAGGGTGTTATTATTTGTGTGATGGTGGCTACGAGAATTGTACTGGGTTCTTAACCTCTTATGAGGGGCAGAAATACCATCTTAAAGAGTGGGGACCAAGACGACCATCTAAAGCTGGAAGTACTATAATATGAAGCATGCACGTAGCTATTCACAGATGTCACCTATCTTCATAGTTGAAGAAATCAATCTTCAGAAGCTTATGGATGAGAAGCTGGCAATCAAATTCCACTACACTAGGCGACAAATGATTTCGAGGAAGCTGTACTTGTGATAACATTACTGAGGAGATAGTTGATGAAGTAGTGCCTTTTTACAAAAAGTTGTTTGGTATTGTAAATGAAGAGGTGAAACTTGATCGAAGTTTGCTATAGGCTCTACTTGTATAAGATTTCTCTATATGAGGGAGTAAAGCTATGCTCGACTGTTACTGTTAAAGAAGTTAAGACAACTTTGTTCTCAATGAAGCCATATAAATGATCTGGTCATGATGGTTGGAGTACTCCTGATTGTACCAATAAAATCTGGGATGTAGTGGGAACTTATCTGGAGGTAGGTGTGCTGAAATTCTTCTAGCGAGACTTTCTCCCGAAGGTTGAACTCTACTTTTCATACATTAGTTCCAAAGGTCTATAATGCAAGTAAATTGACTGAGTTTAAACCCATTGCAAGTATGAATGTGGTATATAAAGTTATTTCCAAAAATTTAGTGAACAAACTGCATGTTGTTCTGCATAGAATTATCAATAGAAAATACTATGAATTTGTGAAAGGGTGTAAAATTGCTGAAAATATTTTGATGGCTCAACAATTGGTAACCAAGTACAAACATAAGAATATTAGTTCTAGCTGTGTAGTCAAAGTGAACTCAATGAAAACTTTTGATTATGTACATCGAGACTATTTTTTACGTTATGGAGGTGATGAAGTTTCTTGTGCAATTCGTTGCGTGGATAAAAATGCCTAACTTTTGCTTACTTTAGTGTTTGCATCAATGAAGGTCTGTTTGGTTTTTTTCTTTCTCATAAGGGGGTTAGACAAGGGAGGGGGGGGGGTCCCCTTTCACCTTATCACTTCACCCTAGTCATTGAAGTTCTCTCCTTATTACAGCACAAAGCACCTAAAGATAACAAACTACATTCTCATCCACAACGCTAACAAGTGGGATTGACCCATATTTGCTTTTGTGGGTGTTTTGCTCATTTTTTTTGAAGGATCTTGTTGAGATTGCACTTGTATATTTTGAAGGGGTTTAGATAAACCTTATACCCTATTAGGACAAGGTGTAACATAGAAAGTGTGTAGTCCTTTTTGGTGGAACTCCAAGTGCAGCTCGTGATTTGGCTTTATTTGTTTCACGATTTCGTGAAGGTACGATTCCAGTTAAGTATCTGGGCTTGCATTTAGTTGCAGGAAAGCTGTTTGTACGTGAATGTGAACTATTGATTGACAAGATATTAAGTAAAGTTAGATCTTGGAGAGCTAACAAGCTCACATTTACTGGTAGGATTGAGTTAATTGTTTCGGTAATACACTATATTTGGAATATTTGCTAGGTAAATCATACTCCCCAAGAGGATTATAGCTCAAGTGTAGAAAATATGTTTGAATATCTTGTGTCATGATTCTAGGCATGCTAAGGTCTCTTGGGACCTGATCTCTATCGCTAAAATGGAAGGGGGCTTGGTTTGAAGGTTTTGGTTGTATGAGTGTTATTTGTGAAGGAATGCTCATTTGGCTTCTCCTTATGAGAGGAGGTACCTTCTAGGTAGCTTGGGCACATTACTACAAGTTCAATGGTAGGATCTTCTAGTGCTTGAAATCGACTCAATATGGGTCATGGATTTTGAGCAAGCTGTTGAACTTTAGAACTTGGTTTCACAATAGATATATGCAGAGAATTCGAGTCATCTGAGTCTGTGAAATTTAGCTGAAATTAAATGGACACTTGGTTTAACGTGGTTCTTCCTCATGTTTGTGAGGCTTACATCCATAGTGGAAAGATGATTACTTTATTGCTTGCTTTGGGCGATGGCCTTACATGAATATTTATACCCTAATTCGTCAAACTCATCTAGGGTACAATGAGGATCACTAGTACGTGTAGGAGAAGGAAAGATGGATGTCTCCACCACGTCTGCATGGGCCATGTGAGCCTTGACGTCCGCATGGGCCGATGAGGACGACGTCTGACCCAATACTCCCCCATAAGGTGAGACGTGGAGATCTCGAACGCTCAGCTTGGAGAGAAGAAAATTGAAGTGATTAGCACCAAGACCTTTGGTGAGGATATCGGCGAGTTGGAGGTCAGTAGGAACCTTAACAGGGAGGATATCGCCAGATTGAACTCGTTCGCGAACAAAATAACAATACATCTCCACATGCTTAGTGCGCTCGTGGAAGACATGATTGTTGGCGATGTGAAATGCAGCTTGATTGTCACAGTGGAGTGGAGTAGGAGTCGTCTTCTCAACTCCAAGTTCTCGAAGCAACCACCATAACCATATAAGTTCGCTAACCGTGCTTGCCATTGCACGGTATTCACCTTCGGTAGAATAACGGGCAACAACACGTTGTTTCTTAGTGTGCCAAGAGATGGGCGCACCCCCAAGAATGATAAAATAACCTACAGTGGAACGACGAGATTGCTCGCAACCTCCCCAATCTGCATTGCAATAAGCAGTAAGGCACAGGGAGTGTCTTTAGGGGAAAATAAACCCTGATCTGGTGAAAACTTCAGATAGTGCAAGATGCGAAATACTGCATCGAGGTGCTGCTGAGTAGGAGCATGAACAAACTGGCTCAAAATATTAACCGCATAAGTAATATCGGGTCGTGTGATTGTCAAGTAGAGAAGACGACCCACGAGACGACGATATACCGAAGGATCAGGAAGAGGATCTGCAGTAACACGTGTCAGATGGTGATTTTGATCGATAGGAAATGCATTGGGACGGGTGCCCTGTACCCCTTCATCCTCGAGGATATCTAACACATACTTCCGTTGACTGATAACAACACCACAATAATACGCGCCAACTCAATACCCAAGAAATAACAGAGTTGACCAAGGTCTTTAATGCTGAATTGGTCATTCAAGAATTTATTTACCTGCTCCATAAAAACCAAGTCATTTCCCGCAAGAATGACATCATCAACATAGATCAAGGCTGTGACCATGGTGTTGCCGTGAAGGTACATGAAGAGGGACGCTCAGTAGCCGAGGACCGAAAACCAAAGGTACAAAGTGTAGAGGTAAACTTCTGGTACCAGTTACGCGATGCTTGTCGAAGCCCATAAATGGATTTATTCAAACGACAAACTCGTGTGTCACCGGGTTTTCGAAACCCTTCAGGAATCTCCATATAGACTTCCTTAGAAGATTTCCATGGAGGAAGGCATTGTTGACATCGAGCTGATGAAGATGCCAACCTCGACTGACCGCAACCGCAATGAGACAACATACGGTGACCAGTTTAGGTACTTGGGCAAAAGTATCATGGAAGTCAAGGTCTTTAATCTGAGTTTAACCTTTGGCCACTAGCCGAGCTTTGTATCTCTCGATAGTCCCATCGGGAAAATATTTGATCTTGTAGACCCACTTTGAAGCAATAGCATGCTTGCATGGAGGAAGGAAAACGAGACTCCAGGTGCCATTATTTTTAAGCGCATCGATCTTGCGTGACATGGCCTCTCGCTAACATGCATCGCGGACTGCCTGGTAGAAGTACCCTTGAAACAAGAATAATCAACATAAGCAGCAAGTGGATAACGAGTAAGAGACAAGGAACATCCCTGAGTACTGGAACCCGTAAACTAGGTGTCATAACTTTCCAGGCGCTTAGGCCGATAGCGATCACTCCATCTCAACACTGGTGGAGGAGGCGTGCGTTGCTGCTGAGTGGCACTTGTAGGTGAAGTGGAGGAGGAGGATCCAGGAACATTGCCACTGTCGGCATGAGAGAAAGAGTGCGGCACAGGTGTAAGCTCAATGGGTCGTATGGAAGCTGGCGACGTGGGTTCTTGTGAAGACCCAAGGCCCAAAGGGACGGAGGATCCACATCCACCACTAGGGGTTGGATCAGGTTGATCCGAGGATGGTTCATCAGTGGGACGAAGAGGAGAAGCAACATCGGTGTCTTATTGGGAAGGAACAATGGTCCAAGGTATCTAGTGGGGCTCATGTCGAGTGATAGACCAATAATTACACATGTTTTCACCCCTATTCTTGAGCCGTTTGAGATGTTGATTCTCGTGTTTTAGGCCGATTTCACGCTAGGTTGTTCTTGTTTGTGATATTTCAGGTCCTAGTACGTGAATGAAGGTTTAGGAACGAGTTCGGAGTCGATTGGATGGAGATCAGACGTTTAGAGAGAAGCTGAGGAAGTCACACGTGCATGCCTAAAAGACACACGGCCGTGTAGGGGACCCCTTGTGGCCGTGTGGAAATTCTAGGGAACTCACACGGGCACCCTGGCAGTCCACACGGCCGTGTGGGTCGTGGCCGTGTAGGAAGCCTGAAGCCACTTATCGAAACTCCGCGTTTTGACACTCACACGGGCAGCCTGGGAGAGTCACCCGGTCGTGTGGCCTGCCCGTGTGATCGGGAATTTCTTGGTTTTTAACCCAGTTTCGAGCAAAAGAGAGGGGGAGCTGGGTTTTGGATCCCAAACACCCAAAGAGAGAGAGGGCGATTTGAGGGCATTCTTGGAGTGGAACTGGAGGATTTCTTCCCCTTGGAAGCTCGAGGAACAAGCCCGGACTTGAAGACTGATCATCTGAAGATTCTTACTACAGTCTCTCTCTTCTCCATGGAGTAACTTCCCTTCACTTAGGTTTTGAGGAACCCTAGCTATGTGTGTTTGATTGGATGATTGTATGAGTACTCTGACTTGATAACCTTGAGTTCATATTCAATCTATGCATGTTTTCATGAATCAATTATGCTTTAGTTGAGATTATTGATTCTGCTTTGATCCCATGAGAGCGAATACCTGATTAGGTCAATAGAGCACCATAGTTTGATAGTAGTGGATCGATTGCTTTAGTCGAGGGTTGATTCACTGCTTTGTATCGACTGAGAACCTCTTTCGATAGAGGGAGTCTAGTTCAGAATGCCTTGATCGGTTGTTCTAGAGAAGGATACGTCCCTCTAGGCAATTGACTCAAGAGGGCCTTGTTCCTTTAGTCGAGACTCAAGGTCTAGTCAAGGATTCTCCGCATTGTGAATGAAAACGAAACAAGTTAGAAATCATCAATAATTAATCTGGCTAGTGGCTAGGGGGAATCATACCTAAGTGAGTTCCCAACCTGTGATTAAATTAACTTTAATTGTAGTTTGCTAGAGTAGTTTTAGTTCTTCCTTATTAATCTGGTTTGCTAAATAATAAACTGAAGCTGAGTAATAGTAACTCTAAAGACCCGTGGATTCGATATTTATTACTTGAGGCACTATACTGCAGTCCCTTCCATTAGTTACACTTGGCCATTGTTAGGTGTTGTGTCGTAGCGAGTCACCGAGCCTCATCCTGCATACGAAACAAGTTCTCGTGGAATATAACGTCCCGAGAAGTTATGAATCGCCAGGAGATTATATCGAAAATTCGGTAACCCTTTTGGGTCATTGCATAGCCCAAGAAGATTCCTGCTCAACCACGATAAGCAAATTATCAAGATGTGCGTGAGTGTCTTTGTAGTAAGCCAAACACCCAAATACACGGAGATGATGATAAGGTGAAACCTTACCAAAAAACATCTCATGAGGGCTCTTGCCCGTGGCCTTAGTCGGAAGGCGATTAATAAGATAGACCGTTGTGAGGATACATTCTCCCCAGAATTTAATAGGAAGACTAGCTTGGAACCTCAAAGCACGTGCTGTTTCCAGGATATGACGATGCTTTCTCTCAACTACTCCATTCTGCTGAGGAGTATCTGTACAAGACGTCTGAAGAAGAACACCCTCTCGCTCATAATAGGCGCGTAAATCATATGTGTTGAACTCATGCCCAATGTCTGCCTGAATACGCTTAACAGAACAACCAAACTGTGTGCGAATCATATGACAAAATTGCATCAAATATTTACCAACATCAGACTTATACCGCAAAAGATAAACCCAAACTCCACGAGTATAATCATCAACAATGGTCAGAAAATAATGGGCACCGCTGAGGGATGCGACCTTGTATCCTCCCCGAATATCAACATGAATAAGATCAAATTTAGACTTCGTCTTAATAGTGCTAGAAATAAATGGTTCTCACGTCTTCTTGGTCCTCAAACAAGAATGACAGGGTCCACTATTACTGAAAGACACACCCAGTAGTGAACTAAGAGATGAAAGTTTCTCAAGGGAAGGATGCCCTAGACGGGCGTGCCATGTAGCTTCGTAGCAGTGAGCCGTGTCTGTGCTGCACATGCCTGCGTCTGGCCAACTCCAAACAAACGCAAGTAGTACAAGCCATCACGCAACTCACCCTTCCCAATCAACTTCTTGGAAAGTAAGTCCTGAATGATGCAGAAATTTTCAAGAAAAATTAAAACGACGCGGTTAACCTTTGTTAGCCGACTCACAGAGATGAGATTACATAGAAACTCAGGAACATGAAGAACTCGCCCCAGGGTAAGACCCTCGTGGAGTTTTACTGAACCCACATGCTTAACGGGTATGTTATCCCCGTTAGGGATACAAACTGACTGCCCATTAGTATACAATTCTTTGCTAGATAACATCGACTCATCCATAGTAATATGCTCATTGCAACCACAATCCAATAACCATTCATAATTGTAATTTGTAAGAAACCATACCTGCCATGTGAGCTGCCGGGTCATTAGAAGGTTTGCCTGGATAGCCAAAAAAATGCTTCAACTTTTCCAACTTAGTCGCGGTGAAGCTGGGAACCGAACTTGCTTCCGCGTCTACCTGAGAAGCTTTGGTTTCTCGTTGTGAGGCTTCCACAGCCGGTCGATTGCGATGTTGCTGGTTCCGGTCTCCCTGGTTTCGATCCCCTTGGCGATCTCTTGTGCGATACCCATGTGGGTATCCAATTAGCTCATAAAAGGATTCGTGGGTGTGGCCATGGCGGTGACAGTGCGTACACTTTGGCCGGCCACGCTGCTCCCCCGTAGCATGAGAATCACCTGATCCACGAGAAGAGCGATTAGTATCGCCCTTTGCCGCAAAACAACCGCCTCAGCTGGGGCCTTGCGGTTTTGAGTAATATTCTTTTGATGTTCTTCGGTGAGTACCATATTGAAAGCTTCATCCAGGGTCGGAGTAGGCCGCATAGCCAAAATATGAGCACGAACTGCTCCGAATGCATCATCAAGACCCATAAGGAAATTAAATAAGCACGCGCTCTCCGGTTGTGCACGAGCCTTGCGAGAGATGTCGCAAGTGCAGAGGCCGCAGGTACAAGCCAACATAGTAGTAATGGCAGCCGACTATTCCCAGTTGGACCGCAAACTGGTATAGAAAGCAGAAACAATGTTCTTTTCTTGTTGAAGAAGATTGATTAAGCGATGCAATTCGTAAGCACGAGAGGCACTGCCCTGACCGAACCGGGCACGAAGATCCGCCCAAATCTCTGACGCGTGCTCAGCAAATCGGATACTACTGCGAATCTCCTTGTCCATAGATGTCTTCAACCAACCCTTCACCATGGCGTCACAACGCGTCCAGGCGGTCAACGCGCGAGGATCAGTCGGTTTTAGGATGGTTCCATCAACGTAACCATACTTGTCTTTGGCAATAAGGGCATCTTTCATGTCGAGGGACCACTCCCCGTAATTGGATGCCGTAAGAATCTCCCCAACCAGCATATTGTCGGGGCTGTCGGAGCTATGGAGGTGAAGGGCCGGCGAAAGGACATCGTCTACGGAGCTGGAAGAAATTCCCTTGTTTTTGGTGTCATCGGCGCCGATAGTCATGGCGGACAGGAAACGAGAAGGAATTGGAGCTTAGAGCTCTAATACCATGTGAAATTTAGCTGAAATTAAATGGCCACTTGGTTTAACGTGGTTCTTCCTCACGTTTGTGAGGCTTACATCCATAGTGGAAAGATGATTGCTTTAATGCTTGCTTTGGCCGATGGCCTTACATGAATAGTTATACCCTAATTCGTCAAACTCATCTAGGGTACAATGAGGATCACTAGTACCTGTAGGAGAATGAAAGATGGTCGTCTCCACCACGTCTTCATGGGCCATATGAGCCTTGACGTCCGCATGGGCCGGTGATGACGATGTTTGGCCCAATAGAGTCGGATAAGAGTGAGAATTGAAAAATACCAAAATAATATGAGAGAAATCATGCCTCATCTCCCTGTAGTCGAGTGGCAAAACTACGGTCTAAGTTTGCTATCCCCCATTCCCCCGTGATAACTTCTTCACTTGGCTGGTTATGAAAGACCACATTACTACTAGAGATAAACTGCCGAAATGGGAGAAGATAGTTGTTCCAGGTTGTGTTTTTTCTATGAATGGAGTTGAATCCAGAACTCATCTATTCTTTAGGGGGTTGACCTATTAGTTAGGAGTAGTTGGGAAGATTGTGTTTACGATTATTATTTGTAAAGCCAAGAAGAAGGACCCTCGAGGTAGATCATTGGCTTCTGGTGGTGTTGGATAGTGGCCTATATATGGAGAGAACGGTGTAAGAAGATTTCTACGTCGACCTAATTCTCATGGGAGGAGTTATCTGTAATGTTCAGTCATGATGTTAAACTAAGAGGGTTGAGAAATGCTGCTTTTGTTGCTGACTTTGTTATTGCCACTAGTATGTAAGTAGCTTAAGTTTTTTATTTGATTTTTAACTAGCTTTTTACCCGGCTCGTTGGCTGGAGAGATTTATTTTATAATTTATATTAATTAACTTATTTATATGTGTAATCATTTTGGATTTTCCAATTTGTGTTCTTGATGCATAACAAAGTTTGCAGTATGTCTATATTGAAAATTTCCAATATTTAGCACACTCACTTGTGATGCTTCGGTTTTCTAATCATAAATGACGTCACTGTCACGTCCCATTTAGAACTTATGTCAAAATTTATCAACCAAAACACTAATGTTTAGCGTATGCCAACTTGAACCCTCCCCCCCCCCCTCCCCAACACACACACATATATATAGTTCAAACTAGCGTGCGTCAAGAGTATGCTATACTCTTGCATTCACACTACCATATGACCATTGAGTTATACTATTTAGACCCTGAATTAACCAAAGTTTTTTGGGGCATGATACTATACCCTAACCTCTAATAGGTGAACTCTAGTCCTTAATTCTCTAACCTCTCATTTATGGACATACTTCGTCATACCTATCTTCTATCTTATCTTGAGAAAAATCAAAAGTATAGTATACCTTGATATTGGGCGGCTTCTACGGTACCCCATGTGAGATCTAGGGTACCGCATACCTTGAGTATGAAAAACCTATCTAGACCTCGAATTAGCAAGATTTTTGGGTCTGATAATATACCCTAACCCTTAATGAGCGGATCCTAGGTCCCCATTATCTAAATGATAAACTCTAAATGCTAAGATGGTGCATTCATTTTTGCCTATATTTGGACGAATCATAACCGTCGATCATTGTTTCTAATTAAATTGATCTTGGGATGTAAGATTTAGAGAATTAAAACCTAGATTTTGATCTCTAAGGGTTGGAGTATAGTATCATGTCCGAAAGATCAGTCAATTCAAGGTTTGGATAAGGTTTTCATACTCAAGGTATGCGGTATGCTGAATTTCACCCTTAATACCGACGTACCGTAGAACTCACTCATTGATATTATATATATATATATATGTATATGTGTGTGTATATATAGTAGACTCAAAATTATCCACATACTTCATCACACCTATCCTATCTCGCATAATACTCATATTAAAAGTGCTACTTGCCTATCCCCCATTCCCGGGATAGAGATTGCGCTTTTACCCCGATAACGTCAGACAATCATTGGGGTTGTCTATCGTTCGATGTGTAATATATAAAGAGACAAATCTTAAGATCCTGCTATTTATTTCTTATCCTCTCCCACACCCCCTTTATGGAGAATAAAAGGGTAGGGATGACAGGATCATAGCTCAATATGGTTTTATTCTGTTCATCATATTAGAGGTTATTTTCTTTTTTGCTTTTTTGGGCTTCTTTTCATTCTTGTTTGGCACCTATGGTTGTGATCAGAGTTATTTAGCCCCCAAAAGGGATTGGGATTTTAGGTCATTTGGAAATCCAATACACATTCATGATCCTCGAGTTTGGACGAACTCTCGACCAATGTTGTAACGATGCTTCATTATTGGATCAATTTATTAATTTATATTGAAACTTGACACACACTATAGCCCTCATGATGATAAAATTCTCTAATCTCGACTCATTTCCGTTTTAGATGTTAGTTTTTTTTTTTATCAAGACACTTAAATTTAGTATATTATACAATATGTATCAATTGTTAATTCTTGAAGTTTAGACTAAACCTCAACCTGTGATCATTGTTTATATGTTGGCTTAGAATCTCAATCTAAGACACTCACAAAAACGATCAAGGATTTTGGTCTTAACATGGTCGTTGAATGTGTAATTTTCAAAGATTTTATCACTTATATATTAATAATTGATAAAGAGTGTATACAATACATACATATTTCAAGTGCATTTAAAATGTCTTATCATTTGAACAATATAAGTGGATTTCATTTGATTATTTGCATTAACTTATTATCTTATTCAACATATATCAATTCATGTTTCTCGAGTTTGGACGAACTGGCAACCAATTTTGAGAGTTGAGATGATTGGATAAAGATACTTGATTGTTGGATAAATATGTTTATCCCAATTGACTATCTTACTAAAAATTGCAAACCTTTATTTGGTAAATGCCTAGGTTATTAGTTGATGAAACGTGATGTTTATCGTAGATTGTCAACATAGATTACTCTAACCTTCACATATGTTATTTTTCAAGGAATCTTGTGTCTCATCCTAGGGTATGAAGTCAAAGTTCGTCAACAATCATACTTAAGTAACTTTGAATTTTTTTTATTTATAATCGTCGACGATAACTCCAAGTCAGAAAGAAAATTTCTTAGTATACGACTTAGGACCTCAATAGAGCTTGCTCAATCAAACATGATATAGAGCAAATATTATTAATGTGAACTTAGGACAGATTATAAAATTATTGCACATGCAATTCCACTTCATTTGAGGAGTTTATGGTAGAAAATGATCTGAATGAATAAGAAGTCTTTAATAAATAAATAACTGTAACTACTCGATCAAGATTATACTCTAACATTTTGCTAAATAATAATTATTTTATTTTATAGACATATACTTTACGAATAAGAGAGTGTTTCATTGCAACAAAATATAAAGTAATATAGTATATTTTTCAAAGGTAATTGAATGTCAAATGTTTATTTCTTTCTTTTCATATATATTTTGTTTAATCGATTAAAATATTATTGTTTATGTGTATGTTTGTCTAATTTTTTCATCAAAATGTAACTTATCATTCAATTTTACTAAAAATGAGTAGAAAATTTACTTCATAAGGTATAATCAGATACTTTTAATTTGAATAAATGTAATATATGTCACTCTCGGTTTTCTATTTATATTTTGTTGTACTTGACAAAAAAATTATTATTTATGTGTGTTGGTTAAGTTTATCAACATGTAACTTATTATTAAAGCAAAAAAGATTAAGAATAAATGGATAAATGAAAAAGAATAATAGGATAAAAGAAATGGAAATATTAAAGAAGAGATAGGTAGCTCCGTAAATACATTAATAACTAATTTTTTTGTTTGTAAAAAAGTTGTCCAACTTGGCAAATTGTGGATCCTCCAAGTACTTATAGGGTGAATACAAGCACAATTTTAAGGTGGTGTCGTGCCGCTATATACTTTTTGATTTTGACCAAGTTGGTTCAGGGTGCATAATAAAATTTCACAACTTTTCGAAGAAACAAAATAGTTTGGGAACAATGACAACATTTAATGACAATAATAATAGACTACCATTAAAATGGAAGGGTCCCGATTGACTTAATAATTTGACCCTACCCTTAGTCATTTTCGATGGTTATGCATTCAGCCACATAAGGTCATAACCAAGTTCAATTTTTGAAATGTTACAACAAGACTCGAACTTCTTTGACATATCTCGGGTAATTAGCGTAACAAACATTTGCCCTTAGTACAAAAATGGTCACAAACTTTTAATTTGTAACAATATGGTAACAAAACTTTGAAATTGTATAAAATGGTCACAAGTATTTAATTTATGACCGTTTTGTTTTAAGTGCAAAGGTTTGTTACCGAATCGTTACAAATTAAATGTTGGTCATGTTTTGAGGTCGGGTAGTTTGTTCGTTAAGTATATGACACTAACCACTTGAACGACATATAAGATGTCAGGTCATGTGTTCATCGACATATTTGCTTTGCCGAATAAGAATGCCCTCAGTTGACCTTTCAATTTCGATACCAAGAAAGTAAGAAAGTAGACATAATTTTTTCAACTAAAAAGCAGTCTGGAAACCGTTTGTGAGCCATTGAGTTCTCTCATTGTTATCCTAAACAATATAATATCATTCACATACATTAACAAAAGCACCATACAACTAGAGTGAATTGTAACGGTGATTGAGCCTTCAAACTTTTGAACTTAATTTGTACAAAACGGTCACCAAAAGTCTAATTTGCAACGACACGGTAACAAAAATTTGAACTGGTATGAAATGGTCACGCTGTTTAATTTGTGACCGTTTTGTTCTAAGTAAAAAAGTTTTGTTATCAAATGGTTACAAATTAAAGGTTTGTGACTGTTTTGTACTAAATGCAAAGATTTGTTACCATTTATGCTAATTACCCGACATATCTCCCAATCAGAAGCTCCAACGAAAAGTCACCCACCGTCACGCCGTCCATATAACTTCCACTCCGTTACTACTGTCCTTATAATTTTCCCACTCCGAGAATCCGTCAAGTTCCAACTTCCATGGCGCCTTCGGGAAGCTTCCTCCGCCGTCGTCGTCACCTCAGCTCCTCACGCTCCGGCACCCATGTCGGCTCAACACGCGGCAAATTCCCTTTCTCCATTATTCCACGCGGTAGGGACAGCGCGTGGGGGTGGTGACGATCTATATTACAGCAATCAATGAATTTTTATTTTTTTTTAAAGAAAGCAAAGAAGTGAAAAAAAGTTACGCGGTTTATTCGGATGTTTTTAATGAAATAGAAAATTCAAAAATACCAAAAAAAACAAACCAGGAAATTGTGAACGAAGCAGGAAAAAGAGAGAGAAGGTGTGTGTGAGAGAGAGAGAGAGAGGGATCGAAGCAGCGGAGGAGGAAGGGGAAGGTAATCTCTTTTCTTTTTCTTGTGTCCCCTCTGTGTGTCATCGACGTTTCCCAGTGGGGGGATTGTGTTCCCGAGGAACATTCGAAGTTAGCATAGGCTAATTCCTCTTCCGGCGGGATTGTGAATCAGTGTTTTTCTAATTCCGATCTCGGTGGCGGGGTTGGGGGAGAGGCCAAGGCGGAGGAGGAGGGGGAAAGATGAGTGGCGGCAGCGGATGGGAG